ATCCTAGTTCCATATAGGCACCCTAGTAACACTGGTTACAAAAAAAAAAAAAGTCTTCTCTGGAGGAGCTGAGTGTTTACGGCTGAAGTTGCAACGGGAATTTTGCCACTAGAATCTGTTTTTGCTTGAAGACAACTCGGTTTTTCATTCTTTGTCCATATTGTGAAGCAGAAAAACAAATCAACCGGGAAACCGTGCTTTTTGCTTCTGCGGTTTTAAGTTCCCTTTTGTGATCGTAGAATGTCTCTATTAGAAAGCGCAAGCCAGAGTGGGGGAAAGAGGCTGAATAGGTGGCTTAACTGCTGTCCGTGCTCCGCTGGCGATTCTGATAGAGCAGACTGCTGCTATGCATGCCGCTCCTCAGGAACGCCCCCAGTTTGGGGGGTCATCTCTTGACCTACAGAACGAGACCCCCAGCTTCCATAGCGCTCCTAGGTATTGAAGGGGCAGTGTCAGAGCTGGCAGATGGGGGTGATGCAAGCCCACGCTGCCCTCCTGGGGTCGTCCTGCCCTCGTGTCACCAGATGTTCCTGGGCTAGCTGCTCAGCCAGGTCAAACAGTTCAAAACTGCCTCTTGCCAGAAAGATTTGTTGGCTTAACTTTCCCTCTGCCTGACCACAGGCTGCGTGCGTATGCGTTGCTCCCATGAGGAAAGGGCAGCTTGCTGCAGGTAGATCAGCTCAAACAGGTTGTGAAACCGTGCCCCAGAACTAGCCCCTGGGTAATAATATTCAGGTGAAGAAAACTACCTTGCAGCCCCGGTCCTGACTGTATTCTGTCCCTACCATGGCTGTAGTAAGACTTCTGCCTTAACTTTTCCCGTGTTCTCCAGTACTTGCCAAGTCGCAGTCCTTTACGCTCCTCCAGGCGTATGTGGGCAATTGAAGGGAAAAAACAAAAAAAAAAAAAGTTTTTTGAAACATTCTTAGTCAATACCTTTTTCTCTTTTCTCTTAGAAGTGAAGAAGAAGGCTGGCTTTATCACTCCAGTGCCAGGAGGGGTAGGACCTATGACTGTTGCAATGCTTCTGAAGAACACGCTCGTAGTTGCTAAAAAGCTCATTTACTAGAGCACGCAGGCTGCCTTGGAAGAAGAATCCAAGTTGTTCTATTTATTGATACACAAAACATGTATTTTTTGCTACAAAGATATTTATTTCTACATGGTATTTATTTTTTCATGCCAGGTACGCCAAACCTGAAGGTTTACAAAAGGTCAAAATACTTCGTTTTACCTCCGACTGACTGATTGTGAGCAAAAATGAATTGGAGTATGCAGCCTATACACATGCGTTGGCAGCGGTCGATTACGTGTGTGGAAATGAAGAAGGAAGCAAGAATTACAAATATACCTGTGTGTCTGGGGATGGGGTGCAGCTACCTGTATCTTATAAACACTTGGGACCCTCGGTTTTGATCAAACAGTATAAAAACTAAGTTTCAGCATGCTACATGTCTTCTAAAAATACGGTTTGGGTTCTGAGATCATGAAGCGCTCTGGGTGTAGTTCCAAGTCTTGAAATACGTTTTTTTGTGTGTGTTTGCTCGTTTGTTTTAAAACACTGAGAGATAGCAGCAGCAATCTTGAATCTGAAAGGAGTGAAAGACTGAAATTTTTGTTGCAGCTGCCAGGCAGTAATGTTGACATAAATGCTCAGTACCTGTTTTAAAGTAGTCAAGTAAACTTGAATGCTGGTCAAATTCTGACCTTAAATGTATGCAAGAGGTATGTGTGAGTAAGAAGCTAGAATTGAGGCCAGAACATTTTTCTTCCCATGTCCGGATTTGACAAAACGTTTTGGTGCATAATACCGTCATGCCACAAAAAAAACCTGAAGAGATGGCTCTCCTCGATTGGACTTGAATTAGGTAGAATGTAGTAACAGCTACTATGCAAGTACATTATGTTTAATTGGGCAGGGGGGGGGGGGGGGGGGGGGGGCGCGGAGAGAGAAGCAAAAGTTTATCCCTGATGAAAAATTTGTGTTGGAATTATAAGCCATTTAATTTTTTTTTCTTATTTTCTGAAACTGCACGAAGGGGATTTTTTTTTAGTCCATGATGTAAGGCTCAGCCCTGCGAATTCTTGGCTACGATGTTTTGCTGCTTAGAGAGGACTACGTGGGGTAATAAGATGAGTATGTTTCTATTCCCAAAAGTTGTACTTCCAAGATGGATGTAGAATCGTTTCATGCATTGTAGAAGTTGGAGCGGAGTTACTGCTAAGGTGCCAGTTGAGCTGAGTGTGTGCACTATTGACGTGAAGAGCCTACCCCAGTTCCCACTGAAGTCAGTGGGAGCCAGTTTGGACTTATCTCTCCATGTTTTTATCTCAGTTGGGATAACTTTGATTTAGTCTTATCTAGAGCCTTGGGTGTTTGCCAGTAGACTATAGATAACTTGGGAGGGGTAGGAAAAAAAAAATGTGGCTAAATACTACTACCGTTAAACAAAAGAAATGCGCTTACTGTAATAAAAGAAACAAGATGGAGCATCGCTTCTGTGCTGATGGTTTTTGTGATGGACCAAAACTCTGAGAGTTTTGTTTAATGCGGTGTTCACCAAAGAGGTTGACAGAATCATTAAGAAAAATAGAGTGCCAATAGTGCAGACGCTTGCTTTTCTGTTGGAATGTAAGCGGTAGTAGAAGTGTTAGGAGGATCGAGGTGCCTGTGGAGATACACTTTAGACTGTTCAACCCATCGTTGACCAAGATGGAATCGAGTTTGTTCATTGTTACGTGAGTCTTGGTGAAAAATGTTAATAAAGTTTTGGGGGTGGTTGTGTTTTTTCTTTGATCGGTGTGTTAAGAGTGGAGCGAACGGAGGTTTTTTGCATGTTCAGTCGTTACTTTTTTTTCATCTTTTTACATTGCTGCTGTAGACTCATGTTTGTTTTCTTTGATTTAACTATGATAATCTCTGCGGTTTTTTTGGAAGAAAAACAATTCATGGTGTTGCGTTGATGTCACTTGACTGAGTCTGCCTCTTTCCTGTCCTACAAGCAGTTTATTGTGCATCTGAAGCTTTTTCTCTTTTCACCTATGGTGGATGGGTGGGCATTACGCAAAAGACGGTGAGACGGAGGTTTCGGTCAACGGCATGCTGTTTTCAGAGCTGCCGGACGCATCTGTGAGAGTACTCTCCGCTGGGAGAACAATCGAGATGGAGCATCCAGAGGGAAGGGCCTATTAACCAACCCCAAAAGCAGGCTCGTGTGCCAGACCCGGTCAAGTCCGGTCCAAGCATGAACGCCCTGTGGCGGACAGAGGCACGGCTTTATCCGCCGAAGCCTTCTCACAGGCCTACCGCGCCCAGCTGTATTGCCTAATGACGAAGCTACCTCTCGGATTGAAGCTGGATTAAGCTTCCATTGTGTAGATGCGTGTTGAAAGCAAGGCTCGTGAGACTTAGCTCTCCTTGGGACGGATAGCAGAGGTATCCAGGGAGGCATAAACACTCCCGTCGATCCAGGGAGCGCGCAAGCTGCACTCGATCGGTGTGCAGGCATGCAGCCGTGCAGGATAGCGAAGGAAGGGAAAAGCCTCCTGGAATGCATTCCGTGAGCAGGAGAAAGCGTAATTAAAATGTGCATAACTAGCTTCTGTTTTTCCCTTAACCTGTGAAGTGGTTAGATTGAATCCTACAGGTGCCTGAGGAGAGTGCAGCATAGAGGGAGAACTTGAGGTGACCGGAGTTGTTAGAGCATTTATCAGAGGACTTTGGGGTTTAAAATGTAAAAGTTCTGAAATGTTATGTTGCTTGGAGCTCACAGCTGAGAAAGTGGAAGTTGTTGCTGGGGTGAAGCGTGTAGCTCTCCTTCGGTGAGAGTCGGGTTGTTGGTGTGTGTGTACGTTATTGAACCGGCCCTTTCCGATGAGGGCTTCGACTATGTTTGGCTACGTCAGTACCCTTCAGAGAGACCAGTCCTGCTTGTTGCGAGCTGCCTGTGACCAAGGAAGTTGGACAGCATTTGGGGCTGTGGAGAGGGGTTTGGTGTAGGAAAGGTGTATGACGGGTATGTCTGTGAGACCTACAAACACTGTATGTAAGAAGGGTGATTGTTCTTGTGACGCATACCCGCTTCCGTGAAAAGGCGGAGATGGGCTTATGTGGCAGCGTAGTGGCAGGAGAAACGAAGGGGTCGCCTGCTATAGGTGGCGACAGGTTAACTCGCTCTTTCAGTCTGTGTTTTCAGGCGCCGGTGCTTTGCCAGCTTTCAACTTCTGCCCTGTACACCCGTGCGTAGCGCCAGCCAGCAGTCCCAGCTCTCGCGCGGGGCTGGTGGCCTGCCTCGCTTTGGAGCGTTGTGCACGTGGAGAGGCTGAAGGAGATGCGATTAGCGTGACCTTCGGGCTCTCCAGAGCCTGCGATCAAAGGCTTTTTGCTGGCAGTCGCTGATTGAGAGCATCGTCCATTATCTTTGTGTCTGATCACCTCCTAGTCTTGGCACTAGCTGATTTCACGGTGCCCCTTCTGGATAGCAGGCAACTGAGGTAGAGGGAGGACCAAGGAAGGAACGCCAGCAAAGCAGGGGCTGATCCCTGGACTGCAGAGCAGCATCCCGAATCCTGACTGTCCTCCTGGAAGTAGCGCGAGACCTACATGGCTATGGGAAAGAAAGATCACGTTTTTCACAATATGTCACTTTTCGTTTTGCTCACCTCTGTTCTTCTGTATTTCGTTGATTTGCTCTGGCAGATAGCAAGTCTCTCTTTAAAACTGTGTCTTTCCATGCACAATTATGCCCACAGGTAATAGGAAACCGGGGTTTCAAAAGAAAACCTGATCCCATTGCTAGATAATAGCAGTTTCCTAAATAAATGTGTGGTTGCCCTGGGGGTTGAGGTTGTTGCCAGATGCACTTTTTTTTGATTGGTGAGAACAGCAGATGACGCTTCGTGGCATATAAGTGCAAGAGAAAACACGGGAGCACAGATAAGCAGAGCAAGCGAGCCACCTGGGAAGAAGAGTTGAGACGGCGTTAAAGCAGCTGCTTGCCATGGCATTCGGAATGCTAATCTATATTTTGCTGAAAGGTAGGTTTGGAGGAGGCTTTTCCATGTCGTAGACGCAAGGCTTTGTTAACAGTAGTTCGTTTTTTCCGAAATAAACGGTAGGGGTGGGAAGCATGCAAAGACATTGTGAAGTAGAACGACTTTAAGCATTTTAAACCCGGGTGAAATTTTAACTATTTGGGTATAATTTAAACTCTTTGAAAAGAAGCTGCTTAGGCGGGTAAATAGGTGTGACATGGTGGTATATTACAGGTACGTGTGTTGTAAATTGCGTAAGGTAACAGACTGGAGAACAGAAGGGATGTGTGTTTGGGAAATTTGTGCACAATAGCTTGTTTCCCCGCAACAGTAATTATGCTGTGGCAAAAGGAAGTTTGAGGCAAGAATGTTTTCAATGAATTGTTGTTCTATTGCTGCATGCTATCAGAATTGTGTTAAGTGGGTGCATGTTTTCTGGATGAAATGAACCTTGAATAGATATTCTGAGTTTTTCTGTTACAGTAAGCATCTATTTGCATTACACAGCAATGGGGGCGCTGAGTGAAGAGTCAGCTATTACTGTTTCATCCCTCAGCACAGACTTATGGAGTAATTGGACAAAAAACAGCGCTGAAGGTATTTCTTTTTTGTTCTATTTGTCTCTATTCATCTGTCACTAAAAAAAAAAAAAGTAAAAACCCACAAAACCCAAACCGAAACAAACCCAAAACAAAAAACCTCAACAAAATCTGTTATGACGATGATAGCTGCTATAATGCTCCTGTCACTTGGACACTGTTGAGGTTTTTTGTGTGTTTTATTTGCAAGGTGAGCTGCTCTCTTGATGGAGCCTTAAAAACCTCTCTGAAGTAATAGCTGCCACTCAGCTGGGGTAGGCTCAGAGTTGACCAGCTAAAGGGTTGTTTATCCAAAGTCAGTTATAATTTGACAAGGATATTTTAAGGCTAATTGGGATAGACAATCTGGGTTTCTGATGGCCATTTCTGTTACTTTTCATTAGCGCTTGGTTTCTCGCTGTCTGCGGCATGAATGTTGATGCACACAAGTGAGAATGCAGCAAGCGTAATTTCAAGTGAATGCCGCTCATGACTGTTACTCAGTAGTTTCTTCCTTTGTTGCCATTTTGCTTTCGGCTATCGCAGCTTCCAGAGCCCTCTTCAGAGTGCTAGCTCTCTCTTTTCTTTCTTCTTTTCTGACTGAAATGTGAACTCAAGCTATTTACCTGCCAACATCTGAGACCAGAGTGCTGTGTTTATCCTGCAAGCTGCATTCTTGATGTTACTTCAGGTGCTAGTGATGTCATTGCTTTGGGAGAACTGTGCGATCTGGAGCTGAGGTTTTGGCAGGTCAGTAAAGGAGGAAAGGATTTGAACTGTGATACTTGCTAATGTCTTTGTACTTAAAAAAGAACATAAACATGCATACGAATCATCTTCTGTTAATTGTAAGTCATCACAGGATGTCTTACAAGCTTTTTTGTAGATCCATTAGCTTTTTATTTTTCTCATACAAGTTAAACTATTGGGGTTTTTGTCTAATTTGTCATAGTGGTACAGTGTTTTATAAATATATATATATATATATACATACATCCATCCATACACTATGTATCTGGGTTTCATAGATGTCTTTTACATATATATATGTGTGTGTGTGTGTGTGAAGTCAAGATGATGTTGATGTTTGCCTGCAAGTAGTTTGATGTATCAGTGCAGCACTGTGGTCCGGTTTAGTGGATTTGTCTGGGACACCGTTCCTCCAGAGTTGCATACAGCAAGCAGGAGTATAATGAAGTAAAATATGCCGTGACTCGTTAAGGACCTTGCTTGTAGTATTTCTAGAAAGCAGGAATTATGGGTTATGTTTTAGCAAATAGGAGGCTTATTTACAGCGACACAGCCGTGTCTGTAACTGTCCCGTGTACCTTTACGCTAGCTGTGGCTGTGCAAGTCAAGTAGATAACCGTGCTTTTAGCTGAGGGTGTCTTCACCTCGAAGGTAGAAGCAAATTCACAAACGTACAAGCGCACGTTTACACGGGTAGCTAAAAAAATATTTCGGTGGACCTTTTACAAAGCCACTGTCAAGTCAGAAAACAGCATTTACAGAAAGAAGATGGGAAACAAATCTTTCAAGTGTCCCAAAGGAACTGGCTGTATCTCTCTGAAGTTTTCTTGTGGCTCCTGTTCCTGTGCGAGTTGAGTTTATAGTTTAGAAGCAAGGTTCAGCAATACCGGGTCCTAAGAAAATGAGTTCCTGGTTAAGTTTCACTGGAGGAACTGGCAGTTTCTTGTGGGGTCGCGAGTTCTCTGGGGAGTGAGGCGCAGTTTGTGGAAAACCATTAATTTCTGCTCAGTCCATTTGCCTCCTATTTACAAGATCACGTCCTGCTTCCTTATTGGAGGTTACATAGCCTTTACTTGTCACCAGTGCTGGGGCTAGGAAACACGAGGCTTGGTGATCAGCCGGGGCGAAGATGGTAGTGGAGAGGATCCCCGGCTGGGAGCTGACAGGGCAGGGATAAAGAACTTGTGATGCTGTTTGGGCCGAAGGGGAGCCTTTGTAGCAAAATGGGCAGCCAGGAGTAGGGAAGGGCTTGGTTTTACTGGGGGGAAAAAATGAGATCCCTTCGTCGCTGTGAGCTGCTGCTTCTGTGCAGCCTGTAAGGGAGGCCCTGAACCTGGGCCTGACCCCTTCCCTCCCTCCCCTTTCTGACTCTCCTGTTCCTCCCTGACGCACCATACTTGAAGGCTGAGCTGTCGTGGTCTTAGTGGCTGACTCTTTGTTGCCGGTCTGTCAGTTTTGGCATGCCCAGGCTTCCAGGTACCTGTAGTTCTGATTTCATGTCAGATCTTGCCAAGTGTATCTGTTTGAGTGAATCACTTGCAGGCAACTGTCAAGTGCTTACACAGCATGCTTTTCCTTCCTCACGTGACATGAAAGGGCACATGGATGTGTTTATTCAACAGCTTATTTAGTATCTAGGCGGATAATATGATTGAATTAGCATAATGCTCTGGGATGGGTTAGAAAATCATTCTTTTTGTTTTCAAGAGTCATCATTCTTTCCGAGGTAGTTTGTACTTTTGCGATGTCAAAATAATTAGCGCTTGGAGTTTTGGTGTATACATTTAAGATCTGGCCTTGCAACCCAGAGTGGACAAAGCTCTTGCGCCTGACAACGAGGGAGGAGCGTATTGTTCGTTTGTCACCTGCAAGGCAAGATGCTGGTCTCAAACGCATTCCAGGCAGGCTTCTGCTCTAGGCTGAGCTTTGTTTCTAACGAAGGTGCTAACTTTCACGGCACTCGGGGGAAGAGGTTTCACGAACCTGCGTGAAGGAAGGGTTCTTCCAGACGTGATGGAAGACTGGAGGGTAGATGGAAGGCTGCCACCTCTCGGCAGCGGTGGGGCAAAGGAGGAGGGGTGTTCTGGCCGCATGAATCCATCTGGTGGAAGCTTGCGTAGAGGTGGCTGGGCATTTCGTGCCTCTGGTTTATAAATTTGTACCTTCCTCGCTGTTTTGGTTTGGTTGTGTTTTTGTTTTGTTTTTTTTTTTTCCCCTGCATGGCAGAGACAGCAGTGAAATGTTAAATCTGTGCAGTAGACAGCTTCTCAGGGCCCGGCAGAAGAGCCGTACTTCGGGCGACAGGGAACGCACATTACAGAGTCCTGTTGAGCGGTTACGTTTAGCGGTTGGGTAGTGCACTGTTCAACTGCCTTTATGCTGGAAGTGTAATTCAAAACAGTTCGTGTTCAAGTGTTTGAGGAGAGGCACGAGGGAAGCATGAAGGTGCTGTTGCCTCTTGCCCGAAACTCTCCCCTGCAGAGCTTGGGTAGCTGGTCTGCAAGTACGTTAGGCCTAAGTGAAAATGGGCTTTTGCGCGTCTCCTGCGTCCCAGATCTCCTTGGCATGCTGAGCCCCGCAGCTGTGTTTACCACGTGCTTTGTTTTCCGTTGTGCTTTCCCCAGCGGTGAGCATCGTACAGTCCTCCAGTGCAGAAAATAGCATCGTCCATCTCTTGTCATAAAATCTGTCTTTTCTCCCTGAAATCTGTCCTTCCTGAAGCTGCTCTTCTCTTCCTTAAATCTGTCCCTCCAAGGCCTGGTCCTGTGCTGACTGCGCTCTCAGCCAACAAGCCTGTCGTCGGAGCCTGTCGGCAGCGTTCCCGGAGCCAGCCGGAGAAGTGCCAGAGCTCGATAGCAGCGCTCGCGCGTAGCCAGCGCCAGCTTCTTCCCTTGCAGAGCGTGTGGGTCCAGGCTATGGGTGTGTCTGCCCTACACGGGGCTTCCTATAGCAGAGATACCATTCTGGTTTCAGTGTATGGGGACGACCTAGCTGTGGAAGCGTGGAGCTCGCTGCTAGGTGATGCTGTACGCAAGTCGGGTCTGCAGGCCGCTTCAGGTGCTCCCCTGCCGCATCGTAGCGTGCGACGGAGGTAGGGCCTCGGTCTCGGCACATCCTGCGGTGTGCGTGTGTGCTGTCACTTGATTGCTAGGCCCAAACTGTGCATTTGGTTTGTAGTTCCTAGCACTGTGTTTCTAGCTTTAGGTCTGCCATCTCCACAGTGGGAAGTGATTTTTTTTTTTTTTCCTTTTTTTTCCTTACAAGAATGGAAAGGATGCCCTTTTCTCAGCCCAAAGAAGTTCATTTTGAAGCAAGACCTGTTTTTTTCCATTTCTGTAGCTTTTCCTGAGAAAGTGTAGTCAACCAAAATGTTCTTTTTCAAGCAGACTTGACTTGTTACTTGTTCTCTCTAAGTCTCTTGATAAGCTGGAAGTCTGATTACTCTGTCAGGTTTGAGAGGGCACTATTTTCAAAGTCGCGTTGTTTGATCTGAGTAGCAGCGATAGCATCGTGCCTCTTAGGTGTCCAAACTACATGATTCACAGCCCAAGTTGAGAATCGCTCTAACGTGCGGGCGTAGAGTAGAGCAGCTCTTTACCATCGCTTGTCATCTCTGTGATGGAGCCGCATAAAGGATGAAGAAAAAAATTTGCTTAGTTGAGTGCACGGGGGGGATTACTGCCGTTAAATGACTCAAACTGGAATTTGATTGGGAATTCGGGGGGTTGGTGCTCTTACTGCTCAAAAATTTGTCGTGGATCTCGAGCTGCCTGCAGGACGGCTGGAGGCTTACGTCTGTGACGGTGCTTCCATCAGCGTAACATCTCCAGACCTTGATTCAGCACTTCGTCAGAAAGCAAGGTTTCTGCTTGCCTTACCGTTGTGTAGTCACTCTGAGCAGACCTTGTCATCTTCCTACATGATGTTGTTTTTCTTGTGGTCATAACTGAAAGCTGCTGTTGACGTACTCGGTTAGGAAATCGCCTTCAGCCATCAGGAAAACAGTGCCCTGAAATAGCAAGACATTGCTTGGACACCCCACCCCACCAGCGATTCCTGTAACTGGATGGAGAGACCTCTTCAGACAGATACTGGCTTGGAAGGGGAAGCTTTTGAGCTTTCTCTTCATTTGCCGCACCCCTGCTCCCGCGTTACAGATAGGTGCCGGCCTCTGCGCTCCTTCTGCGCAGCGGGGCGCCTCGCTCTTGGGCTCAGGTGCTCTTCTGTCGGGATGTAACACTGATCTAAGATCCCCAAGACCAGTTTTGGCTTTGCCTTTATTCCCATTTGAGCCGCCGTGGTTGGGAATAAGGTAGTCATTTTCTGTGCTTTCAAAGCAGAAGCATGCTTACTGGTCTGGACGCATATAATTTTGCACGAGTTGAGAAACTTAACGGTCGTGGACCATGCTTTTGCAGAGGAAGACCATCCGGGCAGTCTTGGGTGCTTACAAGCGTAATGGGACGCTCTGCTGACGTGAGACCGTGGAGAATGGATGGAGGGAGCAATCCCACCGTTGACCACTCACTCATAGCTGTAGAGCTGACAGGCCGCAGTGTTAGAAATGCAATAGTCTGTCTTGTGATGGGGAGAAGAAAATAGGAGTTAATAATTTGAGTTCAGTCTGGGAAGCATACTGAAAACAGTTCAATGCTCTCATTGTTTCCTAAACCCCTGATATTCCTGGGGTGGCTTTTCTGATGGATTGCAGGTTGGATAGTGCTGATGTTACCCTGAGTTAATCGTCCGTAATCATTTTTATATACACTTGTCAAGAGCAAGTAATGTGTTTACAGTTTATTTTTTCTCTAAAGCTGTGCTGGAATGTCTTTGAAGCTTGTTCTGCTTAGCAATGTTGGAATCTGTTCATGAGACGTATTGCAGTAACTCTTAGGTATTAAGTGTCCTCTACAGGCAATGTCTGTTCAACTTGAGTTGTGAAAATATATTCAAATGATTTTTTTTTTCCCTAAATATAACATGACTTTTTTTCCTTTTGATAGTAGACTACACAGAGCAGCCAAAGCTCTTGAAGCTTATGCAGACGTGTCTCGAAGAACACCACAGCTATTGTATCAATGGGCTTTGCGCTTTCCACAGCGAGCTGAGGAAACCCATATGCAAGTAAAGAATTCTCCTTATAAGTATCCTTCTTAGAAAATAACAGTAGCATTGTTTCTTTGTCTGCTAGATGTTACTAATGTAATGTGACTAATTTTCAGCGGAGCGCAGCTTTCAAGTGCCAGTGAAGTATTTGCAGGCTTGAAGTTTGGCACAGGCTCGAGTGCTGCGGTGGCTCAGGACTGTTAATGAGGCAGTAGTGCTGAGCTAGCATAATATGAAGGAAGGGAGAGGGAAAATTCACAGCTTTGCAGGTCACTGCTGTGATGACATCTCAAATCACAACTGGTGCTAGAGTAACTAGTAGAGGAATAAGTAGATTTTCACAGTGCGCACAGTGAAGGGGGCAGGATCTTCCAAGATGTCAGCTGCAACTCCCTTACTCTGCAGCTGCTTACACACCCATCGGGACTGTGGTGGTCTTAAAATTTTCTAGGGTCCATACTGGGCACCTTTGGCCTTTGGAAACTTAACAACTGCTAAGCATCAGCAGAGCACGGTGCTCTTTGTCCACACGCTCTGCCATGAGGGTATGTTTAGACGGTGTTTGCCGCTGTGCCTGTGGTGCTTGAGCTAGCTTTAGACTAGATAGACTGGGGCAACTGGTAGTCTTGGTGGAGCGAAGAGGTTCTGACTGAGCACCGGATTCAGCCCATCCTCGTTTAGACTTGTTCTAAATGCTTTAAAGCTGATTAAAACTAGCATGTGTTTCTCAAATATAAAGCATAAGAAGTTCTGAATAACTTTTGGATGGTGTACATTTATTTTGTAGGTGCCTTGCAGGTTATAACGGAGAGAGGTGTGAACATCTAACGCTTAATTCGTACGCGCATAATTCTTACGAACGCTACATTGCTGTGGGAATTGGCGTAGGAATACTGACGAGCGGGATACTTGCTATCATCTACTGCTACGTAAGAAAGAGGTACGGGAGATAAGTAACCTTCTGATGACATTCATCTGAATTACAGTGTGCAGAGTTTTGAGGGCACTGGGTGCATGTTCTTGCCTGCCATTGATCTGCGGTGTGGTCTTAAAGGAGCTGACGCTCTATACCTCTGCTTTCCGATCGGCCGGTCGGGTCAAATGGTGCGATTGTCTGAAACATGGGTTTCTTTGGGGTGCCGAAATGAATTAGGCAATTAGATTTAGGTTCTGTTCAGACTGCTGTGGTTTTAGATTTGTCTGATTAAAATGACATGATGATGTCCATTTTAGATGCAGGAAATTGAAATCACCCTACAAAGTCTGCACGGGCGAGACGGCGTTGTGAAGATCTGGCGTTGGGACGCTTACCAATTTGCCTGTAAACGAGAGGAAGTTCTGCCGGGAAGGCCACCCCGCGCCATCTGGCAGGTACCCCAGCCTCGCTGATGAGATGAAATAAAGGGAATGACAGAGCAAGTACATAAAAGGAACTCCTGCAGAACGGACGGGCTCCATTCACTTTTGAAGAAAGACTTCCTCTTTTTAGTAAAGATGGTTACATGAGCAGGTCCAAACAGCCAAGGGTACTTGCAGCCCTCTCGATGCGCTCCTGTGGTTGGTATTTGCTGAGGGGAGGACTGGTTGGTTTTAGCTGTTTTCAGTCATTTCAAGCCCTAGTACAGTGTTCTGCCCTGGTCTTTTCTGGTTTTTTGGTTTTGTTCTTTTTTTTTTCTTTTTTTTTTTCTTTTTCTCCTCTGGAGGAAAAGCACAACCTGTCTCTCAATGGAGTTGTATTCTGAACATCACGTGCTGACAAGAAACCGTTTGGGTTTTGATTTCAGTGTCCGCTGCCTATCTGTGTGGATAAACAGCCCTCTTCCAACACAGCAGTTAAGTTCAGCGTGCTAAGCAAAGCCTAGGCTTCTGTTGCCGTAAAGGACAAAATCATAAAATGCTTGGGACTGAGGAAAATGGATGGTTCTCAAAAGCTTACTTAAACTTAGGAATAGAGAGTAAGCAATTCTTCGAAAGTTAGATCATGACACCTCTGGGCATGGCAAGTTCTTGCTGCTTTCATAAGCAAAGGAATCTGACATCTTGCTCAAAATGGATTATTGACTGTGCTCGTGACAAAGAACTCTGCTCTTCCCTGACGACATACAGCAGCTCGTCAGATTCACGGAACTTGGGGCAGAACATGACCTTGCTGCACCGTGATTTCAGCACAAGGCTTGGGTTGCTAGAGAAGCTGGAATTTTGTTATGAAACTTCAGTACAGCTTTGCCCAGGAAACAGACTCTCCTTAATCTGTTGTCGCTTTCTGTGCCCGATGGGGCCGCTCAAATAAGAAAGAAATGACCGCGTGGATTTTGTTCCACCCTGCACAAACAGATTACATATCAGATGCTTGTTTTTCTTCACTTTGTCTATGAAAAATCACAAAGGTAAAAAGATTTTGTTCAAGGAAAAGGGAAGAAAGTTGGTTCTGAAGACGGCGGCACTAACTGTGACTTCTCGCTGACGGTTGGACTGTTCGCCAGTGCCGATGAGACTGGAGATGGCTCTATAAGAGATTTTTATTTCAGCTGTTGCACGTTGTAGACGCATCCGCTGTGCTTAGTCATCTACGAGAAAAAGGCAGTTAGGTACTTTGTGGTTTTTATGGGGTGATATAGGCTCCTGAATTTAGGTGCCTTGCTGGAAGGCTCCATTTCTTTATGTGGGTTTATTTTCACAAGAGGATGCATGTCATGTGTTGGGGAAAAAAACCAACAACTGTGTATTTGTGAGACTACACTGATAATGCTGAAATGTGTATGAAAGGCTGGGTTTTGAAAGGGTAAATGTACACTTGGCACACAAGTGGTCTGAAGTTCAGTGGGGTTCTCGCACGGGGGATCCCGGTCAGGACCTGAGTTACCTTGGCTTTCCGTTTGATACGAATAAATAAATCGACACATCACACACTGTTTGGTTGGAGTCCCCGTGCAACAGACTGGAGCAAGTGACACGTGCGTACACAGAAAGGATGGTTGGTGAGGAGCTGGATGGGGACAGACACCAGTCCTTTCCTCTACACCTTGACATGGGCGTTTCGTTAGAGACACTGAGCTCATTTTCCAACTCTCAGCCTTTTTTTTTTTTTTTCTTCCTCATCTCAAGTTAAATCTTCACATCTCTGTGTTGTTTTTGTATTTCCTTTCTTCTGACCTTTTCTTAGCATCCACTGAGACAACTTCTGCTCTTCGTGATTTTTAAGTCGGCATGCAATACTTGCCCTAGCGTTTTCTGTGTCACATGTATGTAGTGAGAGGGCGAGTAGCTGTGAATTACAACCTGTGCATCCGCACACAGACACACACAAAAACACCCTTCGCCCCTCGCACGTGCTGGGCAGACCGAATGGAAATGCCGATTAGAAACATGCATGTCCTCAGGAAAACACAGGTGAGGGATCTTTCTCATCGATCTCGGAGAAAATTTTAGAGCTAGATCGGCCAAAGGATGAAAAGCCTCAAAGCTTTTGTCACGTGGATGAATCTCCGTCTCCGCAGGGGCTTGTCTCTTCCTGTGTGCCCAGGGCGAGTGTAGCATTCCCTTCTAGAGGACCGACGCTTCTGCGTCACAGAGGCTATGTCTTGGAGCAAACGTGCACAATAACACACCTTGCTCAGGGTGTACCTGCGGTGGTTACAGGAGTTGTATGGGCAGGAGTTTGAATAACTGGACTGCTGCTTGTCCAAAGGTGGCTGGATTTTGGATTTTGTTTGCTTTGAACCATTTGCCTGTCCTCTTACTGAATTTTTAGACACCCTTTACATACCAGTGGCCAAGCAGGTGCCTTGCAGGATGCGTAAGTGCTTCCTCAAGAGTATTGACTCATTGCAGTGAGACACTCTGTACCTATAGAAGCACACACTGACTTCCTTTTTTTCCTGTTTGGTTTAACATAACTGGGAAGGAAGGTTTATTTCAAGGCCACAATATAGCAGGAGACTAAATAGTGAAATGTTTTTTTCTAGTTTGCGTTCTGCTCCAAGGCAGCTGTGGAAGGGCTGCCGGTACAAGCTCGCTGAGATTTTTCTGCTAGTGGAAGAAACGCTGAAGGGGGAAACACCAGATGAGTCTGGGCTGTGCAAAATGAGACCTTGTGTAAGGGCAGAATGAGAATAAAAGGGAAAGATGAAGATGGGAAGAAGGAAGGAGAAGGAAGGGTTTGCTTTATTTTAGTTTTCCTTTTCCAAGTGGTATTGAGGCTTCCGGGAATGGATTGCTCTCCACCTGGGTGCTGTACGCCCTTTGTGCTGAAGCACAACCTCGGAGCAGGCTCCCAGCTTCTCGGACATCCAAGGCTGGTGGCACCAACACAGATGACAGCTTTCTCCATCCGTCTGCAGCGTTTATAGGCTGTAGCCCCTGTGGGAGAGGAGTGTTGTCATTGCAGTTGTAAGGGATTTCATCAGGCCCAAGCTGTGTTTGAGGCATCACTGCGTGAATGAATCACTCCGCTGTTTAGTGCAGTGACCCAGCCGAGGAAGTCTGCGTTGCCTCAGATCGCTTCGTGGAGTCAGCGGTGCTGAGCCCTGCCTTGATAAGTGACAGATGCTACTGGGCTAGTGTGGTGTGTTGCTGCTTACGGTGCTGAATTTCCTGCAGAACTGGCCTGGCAGAGGATCAGGACCGTCTCTCTTGGCTCATGTATCAGGCTCAGACTCCTTCTGTAATGGCATAATTAACAGAGTCATAAGCTTCTGCTTCCTATTAGCTGCATGTGCCAAAAACTGTCATGTCAAGAGGAGACCCTGTGTTTGTGTGGCTTTTCGGCAGTCCTGCATCAGCTTGGTTAGGGCACCAGCTCAGCAGGGCCAAGAGGGAGATGTTAAAGACTGGGACCCGCCTTTTCGAAGGGCAGAGCGCTTGCCCTGTGTTTCATCCTGGCTGGTGGAACCACACTGGCTTTTCCGGCAGCGCATCTCTCGAGCCTAGTTGCCCTTAAGCCACCCAGCCCTCTACCTGCTTCACTGGCATCTGCAGTCACCATGCAGGCGTACTTTGTTGCTAGTGCTTGGCTGCGACTTGAATCCCTCCCCTGAATTCAACACCCATTTTCTCTTGAAGCGAGTGGGTGGCCTGCAGTTTACCTGATCCCAGCAAGGTCTACCTAAAAGGGCGAGATGCGAGCCTGTGGAAAAGATGGCTGTCCTTTCCAAATACTGTGTTGAGTCTTGGAAGGAAGTGTGTGAGGAAGTGTATTGATGGCTCATGTTGAGAGTCCGCGGCGTCCCTGTCCTGCCTGCCTGGTAGGGTGCGCTGTCGATTAACAGCGGTGCCCGTGATTGCATACTGCTGATTCAGCAGCCAGGCCACTGGCCCATCCGGTCCAGTAGCCAGCCGGCGACTGCAGACAGTGCCAGAGGCTCCTGGAGAAGGTCTTAGAGGTCTGGTGGCAGGCAGGTAGGTAGGAGACAGTTTTCCCTCAGAGAAGGCTTTCTCTTATTCTCAGTATCAGAGAGTTATTTTTTTACATAATAACACAGCAGGGTTTCTGGTCCTTCCCCCTTGCTATTGCAACTCAGTTTCTTCTAGTGCATATTAAAAGTTAAGAACTGATTTGTGTTCATGGGGCTAGCGCAAGGCTAACTAGCCTATGGTTTGAGTGTAAGTGCTGGGCTGTGTCCTAAGAACTAGCTGTGAAACTGGTTACTTGCTAGTGACTCAGGACTTGATGCAAAAAAACAAAACACACAAAAAACCCCAACAAAAAACAACACAAACCAAAAAAACCCCAAAACTAAAACAAATAAAACAAAACCCAAACCAAACAAAAAAAAAATAATCAAATCCCCACAAATCATATGGCTCTCAGCAAGATGTTATAGCGTTGGCATTCTTTACGCCCATTGTATGTTTCATTTAATTTCTGGCCCACGAAATGGACTGTAGTTGGAAAAGCATCCCACAAAACGAAGGCTAACTTAGCTAAATAATGGGTCTAATAATTAAGTTCAGAATAGCTCCTCTGACTCCTGAAGCTTGCGGCCCTTAATGGCTTTGCCCTTAGACGAGCATCCCTACGAAGCAAGGCAGTGCTTTGGGGATGACGTGCGGTGGAGAACAGTTGGCCCTGGAGACAGGGAGGCATCGAAGTTTTCAAACATGCTCATAGTGCCGCAGCTGGCAGATCCTTCTTCTGCTCCTTTGAGTTCTTCTAAGAAATGGTTCTCTAGTAGATCGGTTACACACTAGCACTCTTGAGAGAGCGCAAAGAGGGACCAGTCTGGGTAAAATGGGAGTTTGATGGCAAACAGCAAGTTTCTTTTTGATTATTCATTTCAATTCCACATC